AGACCAGGGAGACGTGGAGCGGCTTTTCTCAGCAGACACCTCAGCTTGAGAATAAAGGACTGAGGGAAGTGAGGTGTGGGAGAATAAAACTGAGCTCTGGAGAAATGTTTGACTAGAGTTTCCCCTACAATATGTACCAGTTCCGACTTGCATACAAATTCAACTTAAGAACAAACCTACAGTCCCTATCTTGTACGTAACCCGGGGACTGCCGGTATAATGACGCCCTAGAGCCTAGACCATACCCCTGCCCTACCCCGCATGCAAAGACCCCCAGCCCAGTGACAGCTCTCAGGCAGGGCTCACTTGGAGCAGCCAAGTTTATTAGAAAATTCCAGACACCGTTCGGAAAGGGGTGTGTGTAGAAAAACAGCTGCTGGGGCTGCGGGCAAGAGCAGGGTTCCGGGAGCTGCAGGGGAGCCCCCAGCACAGGGCCAGCCATGTGGGCCCAGGACAAACCCTGAGCCAGGGCAGGGGTGGGCAGCACCGTCGGGAAAAACGGGTCCATGGAAAAGCCCTGAAACAAAGACAGAGAAATGGGTCAGTGCCTGGGGCCTGAGTGTGGGAGGGGCAGGGGAGCAAAGGGGGCACAGAAGCAGTGGAGCCTTGTAGGGAAGCAGCCACCCCCATCTCTGTGGGCTGCAGTCCTGGGTCTGGGTCAAAGCAGGAGTCCACAGGGGGAGAGATTTCTCCTCCCTCCCCTCAGGCTCTAGGGAGATGACCTGCCAGCCCTCCTCAGGCCCCACTCACCGCCTGTCTGGCCGCGCCCCCTCACAGGCCCTGCTCCGCGGGGGGAAGGGGCACAGTCCAGCTCTCAGGGTCCCATCTGGTCCGGGCTGCCCCGGGAGAGGCTGGATTGGGGGGAATGAAATGGGGAGTCCTGCAGGGGCAAGGAGGGCGTCCCCACTGGTTCTGGTGACCATGGGGATCTGGAGAGAGAAGGAGAACGTGTGTGAGGCTGGGGAGAAATGCACCCTCAGGGCATGGAGCAGGGAAGGAACAGAGGAGGGGAGCAATGGCTCTGCAGTGGCCCAGCGGATCCTACCAGTCTGATCCCATCAGCCTACGAGTCTGAAACCCGAATGCAGTGGGGCCAGGCCAGGCTCTGGTCTCAGCCCCACAGGGGCAGTCCGGAGTCACCCCCTGCAGTGGGACCAGGCCAGGCTCTGGTCTCAGCCCCACAGGGGCAGTCCGGAGTCACCCCCTGCAGTGGGACCAGGCCAGGCTCTGGTCTCAGCCCCACAGGGGCAGTCCGGAGTCACCCCCTGCAGTGGGACCAGGCCAGGCTCTGGTCTCAGCCCCACAGGGGCAGTCCGGAGTCACCCCCTGCAGTGGGACCAGGCCAGGCTCTGGTCTCAGCCCCACAGGGGCAGTCCGGAGTCACCCCCTGCAGTGGGACCAGGCCAGGCTCTGGTCTCAGCCCCACAGGGGCAGTCCGGAGTCACCCCCTGCAGTGGGACCAGGCCAGGCTCTGGTCTCAGCCCCACAGGGGCAGTCCGGAGTCACCCCCTGCAGTGGGACCAGGCCAGGCTCTGGTCTCAGCCCCACAGGGGCAGTCCGGAGTCACCCCCTGCAGTGGGACCAGGCCAGGCTCTGGTCTCAGCCCCACAGGGGCAGTCCGGAGTCACCCCCTGCAGTGGGACCAGGCCAGGCTCTGGTCTCAGCCCCACAGGGGCAGTCCGGAGTCACCCCCTGCAGTGGGACCAGGCCAGGCTCTGGTCTCAGCCCCACAGGGGCAGTCCGGAGTCACCCCCTGCAGTGGGACCAGGCCAGGCTCTGGTCTCAGCCCCACAGGGGCAGTCCGGAGTCACCCCCTGCAGTGGGACCAGGCCAGGCTCTGGTCTCAGCCCCACAGGGGCAGTCCGGAGTCACCCCCTGCAGTGGGACCAGGCCAGGCTCTGGTCTCAGCCCCACAGGGGCAGTCCGGAGTCACCCCCTGCAGTGGGACCAGGCCAGGCTCTGGTCTCAGCCCCACAGGGGCAGTCCGGAGTCACCCCCTGCAGTGGGACCAGGCCAGGCTCTGGTCTCAGCCCCACAGGGGCAGTCCGGAGTCACCCCCTGCAGTGGGACCAGGCCAGGCTCTGGTCTCAGCCCCACAGGGGCAGTCCGGAGTCACCCCCTGCAGTGGGACCAGGCCAGGCTCTGGTCTCAGCCCCACAGGGGCAGTCCGGAGTCACCCCCTGCAGTGGGACCAGGCCAGGCTCTGGTCTCAGCCCCACAGGGGCAGTCCGGAGTCACCCCCTGCAGTGGGACCAGGCCAGGCTCTGGTCTCAGCCCCACAGGGGCAGTCCGGAGTCACCCCCTGCAGTGGGACCAGGCCAGGCTCTGGTCTCAGCCCCACAGGGGCAGTCCGGAGTCACCCCCTGCAGTGGGACCAGGCCAGGCTCTGGTCTCAGCCCCACAGGGGCAGTCCGGAGTCACCCCCTGCAGTGGGACCAGGCCAGGCTCTGGTCTCAGCCCCACAGGGGCAGTCCGGAGTCACCCCCTGCAGTGGGACCAGGCCAGGCTCTGGTCTCAGCCCCACAGGGGCAGTCCGGAGTCACCCCCTGCAGTGGGACCAGGCCAGGCTCTGGTCTCAGCCCCACAGGGGCAGTCCGGAGTCACCCCCTGCAGTGGGACCAGGCCAGGCTCTGGTCTCAGCCCCACAGGGGCAGTCCGGAGTCACCCCCTGCAGTGGGACCAGGCCAGGCTCTGGTCTCAGCCCCACAGGGGCAGTCCGGAGTCACCCCCTGCAGTGGGACCAGGCCAGGCTCTGGTCTCAGCCCCACAGGGGCAGTCCGGAGTCACCCCCTGCAGTGGGACCAGGCCAGGCTCTGGTCTCAGCCCCACAGGGGCAGTCCGGAGTCACCCCCTGCAGTGGGACCAGGCCAGGCTCTGGTCTCAGCCCCACAGGGGCAGTCCGGAGTCACCCCCTGCAGTGGGACCAGGCCAGGCTCTGGTCTCAGCCCCACAGGGGCAGTCCGGAGTCACCCCCTGCAGTGGGACCAGGCCAGGCTCTGGTCTCAGCCCCACAGGGGCAGTCCGGAGTCACCCCCTGCAGTGGGACCAGGCCAGGCTCTGGTCTCAGCCGCGCAGGGCCAATCTTGACCCCCAGCAGCCAAGACAGAGGGTCAGTGCAACGCCCCTGGCTCCCCCCACCCCTGTCCCTCTGCATTCCCCCATCACCCTCTGCAGATGAGATAGTGACACTGCCCCATGGAGACGCCCAGTGCAGCAGCTCCTGGCACCCCCAGCTGAGGGAGCCCCCACACCTGGGGGCACCCCGATGGCTCATCCACGCTCCTGCCATTGGCCGCTCAGATCTTCATGTCTGTCCATTCGCCAGCCCATCTCCTCTCACCCACTGCTGCTGGGGCAGCTGCACAAAACGGGGACAAACACATCAGATTAGTCTGGTGCAGGAGCAGCAACGGGACAGGGCCTGCTCAGGTTGCTTGGAACAAGTCTGTCCATCTATCCATCCTGCCATTGATCTACCTAATGTCTGTCCATCCCTCCACATTACCTATCCATCTACCCATCCGTCCTGCCATCCATCCACACACCCACATTCCCCATCGATCCAACCATCCACTCACCCACTCATCCGAGTTACCTGTCCATCCATCCTCTTACGCACATTACCCATCCTGCCATCCATCCGTCTGACCATCCACGCAACTGTCCACCCATCTGTCTGTTCTGCCGGCCATTTACCCATCTAAATTAGCCATCCAGCCATTCACTCACCCATCCACATTACCCATCTGTCCATTAATTCATCCATCCGTGTACCCATCTGTATTACCCATCCATCCACCCACCTGCGCTATCCATCTGTCCGTCCATCAACCCACCTGCGCCATCCATCTGTCCATCTGTTCATCCATCTGTCCATCCATCCACCCACCTGCGCTATCCATCTGTTCACCCATCTGTCCATCCATCCATCCACCCACCCACCTGCGCTATCCATCTGTTCACCCATCTGTCCATCCATCCATCCACCCACCCACCTGCGCTATCCATCTGTTCACCCATCTGTCCATCCATCCATCCACCCACCCACCTGCGCTATCCATCTGTTCACCCATCTGTCCATCCATCCATCCACCCACCCACCTGCGCTATCCATCTGTTCACCCATCTGTCCATCCATCCATCCACCCACCCACCTGCGCTATCCATCTGTTCACCCATCTGTCCATCCATCCATCCACCCACCCACCTGCGCTATCCATCTGTTCACCCATCTGTCCATCCATCCATCCACCCACCCACCTGCGCTATCCATCTGTTCACCCATCTGTCCATCCATCCATCCACCCACCCACCTGCGCTATCCATCTGTTCACCCATCTGTCCATCCATCCATCCACCCACCCACCTGCGCTATCCATCTGTTCACCCATCTGTCCATCCATCCACCTACCTGCGCTATCCATCTCCTTTATCCACATATCCATGCTCCATCCATATTACTCATACTCTCCCATGCCCACACTATCCAGCCCTTCTGTCCACGTTACCTACTTGCCCATCTGCATTACATGCACCCATGTGTCTTCCATCCAAGCCATCCATCCATTAGCATCATCTATCCATCTACCAGTCAATCGCCTGCAGTCTCCTACCCACTGACAGCATGGATCTAGCCATCCATCTTCCCCATCTCGATCCTGCCACCTGTCCATGTCTGCAGGTATCTGTTTCCATCCCTTTTTAACTCCTTAGAACCCTTTCTTTCCAATCCCTTCCCTTGACTTCCATCCCCTTGCCTGATGCTGCTTGGAGAAGCCCCAGCCCTGGAGAAGGAGTACCCCTAGCTAAGCGCCTGGCAGGCTGGGCTAGACGAGAGCCCTCAGCAGCTCTTGCTAGAGTCTCTGCTCTTATTGTCGCCATCCCAGCACGTGGCAGGAGATGGAGCGCCTGGTTTGGTCACTGCATGGCCCACAGAAATAAATGGGGCCCCTTGTGAATGCAGATCCTCACCCCATTGGTAAAGCCTGTTACCTTGTTCCTCAGCTCTGTCAGGCACAGGGCACTTGCTCTGGAGGTCTACACTTGTCCGTGACCATGTCCTCCTCCTGGGAGATGGGGTGTCCCCCGTGCCCACCTCCTTCTCGCAGTCCTTGCTCAGGACCATCCCGGTGAGGCCCCTGACCCTGCTCTCGGCCCCGTCCTGTGCCCGGGAGGCCGGGGTCTGCCCGCCGTTGGTCTGGGAGTAGACGTTGCTGACCTTGGCCTTCTTGTGCCCCTCTTGCCCACCGTGGAGCTTGTAGCGGATCATGAGGATGATGATGAAGAGCAGGACGGAGGCCACGATGATGCCGCCGATGATGATGATGATGGTACCACCAAGGAAATGGGCGTGCAGGGAGCGGCACTGCGGGTAGCCGGGCCGGGTGCTGAACTGGACGCAGCCCAGGCGGCGGGTGGTTGTCAGCGCTGTCGCCCCGTCATCGTAGACGGCCAGCACACACAGGTCGTAGGCCCGGCCTGCCGCCAGGTCGTTCACCAGGAAGGCCCTGCTGGAGGGGGGGATCATCCTGCAGGGGGAGGGGAGACAGAAGGGAGTCACTGGTTAGTTGTGGGAACGCCCCCCCCCAACCCTGGTGACCCCCACATACAGCCACCATACAACCTGCCTCCAGTCCCCCATGCACACCCCAAGGCCACCCTACCTGCTACCCCCTCACCCCACGGCCACCCTGCTACCCCATTCTATCCCCCCTCCCAGGCTGAGCTCAGCTGGGCTCAGTCTGGGCTCTGCCCACTGGTGCCGAGTCTCCCCTGCCCAAGCGGGTCCGGGCCATCTTGCCCTGTGACCCAAATGGCTGGGGGCCATGCCCTGAGACACTGAGATGGGAGAGTTGTGCCTCGGGGGGGCTTGGTTCCAGGGTCCCAGGCACAGACAACTTGTGGCAGTTCACCTGCAAGCAGCTTAGATCAACATGCACCGATCTCCATGGGGACACCCTTCCTATGCCTCGCACCTGTCTCCCAGCCCAGGGCCAGCCCAGAACAGAACCACTCAGGCCCAGCAGCGCAGGCTCACCTGTACACCGGGGTGTCATCGTAGGAGCTGTTGTACTGGATCTGGTACATGCGGACGCTGGGCCCGGACCGTGGTGGGAACCAGTGAATGAGGACGGAAGACACTGCGAGTTCAGAGACCAGCACCCCCCCATCCGGCAGGGTGGTGCTGGTGTTAGTGCCTGCCTTGGCCGAGGTGAGGATATCGGAGGGCCCAGCTGCGGCGGGTGCCGGGGGGTGGGTGCCGTCACTGAGCTGGGGCAGGGGGCTGACCAGCAGCTCCACGGAGGCAGTAGCCTCTCCGGCAGCGTTGGAGGCCACACAGGTGAAGGCGCCTGAGTCCTTGACGGTGGCAACCAGGATCTCCAGACTCCCATTCTCGTAGGCGAGTGTCCGGGAGCCGTTGGCCACCAGCTTCCCCTCCGGAGAGACCCAGTGCACAGCTGGCTCGGGGTCGCCCGCCCCCCGGCAGGGGCAGCCGGGGGGGCGGGCGCCCCCCCCCCGGGTGATGACAGGCGGCTCACAGACAAACTCCTCCTCCGGGACACTCCAGAAGTACTTGCCCAGGAGCTCAGGCGGCGAGGCGCAGGTCTCCAGGTCGTCCTCTCGCGCCAGGCGCCGGAGCCACAGCAGCTCACAGTTGCAGTGCAGGGGGTTGCCCCCGAAGCTCAGCACGAGGGAGGAGAGGGGCGAGCCCTTGGACTTGGCGTAGACAGGCAGACGGAGGAAGAGTGGATCCAGGGGGATCTTCTTCAGCCTGTTGGAGGTCATGTCCAGCCGGGCCAGCTTACGCAGGTCGGCAAAGACGCCCTGGGGCACGTGGGTAATGAGGTTGTGGTCCAGGCTGAGCGAATTGACGTTGCTAAGGCGCCGGATGGTCTCCCAGGGCACCCGGGCCAGGTTGTTGTAGGACAGGTCCAGGTCCTCCAGGGTGGTGGCAAAGTCATCGAAGGCACCGGGTGCCACAGCCCGCAGCTGGTTGTTGCCCAGGATGAGGTGGCGTAGGTTGGGCAGGCCCCGAAGCTGCTGGTCCCCGAGAGCCGGCAGGCGGTTGCCATCCATGTGGAGAGCCCGCAGGCCGCGCAGGTCAGCGAAGGCAAAGGGCGCCAGCTGGCGGATGGCATTGCGGGAGAGGGTCAGGTGCACCAGCCGCGTCATGTTGGCAAAGTCCCGGCGCCGCACGGCTGCGATGAAGTTGTCCGTCAGCCGCAGCTCTGCTGTGCGCTGGTCCAGGAGTGCGGGCACGAAGAGCAGCCCAGCGCGGGCACACAGCACGGCCAGCGAGGGGGACAGGTTCTGGCAGGTGCAGCGTGGGGGACACAGCTGGGCGCAGGAGAGGCCCAGGCAGAGGGCCAGGGCATAGAGCAGCAGGTGATCCATGGTGCCATCAGGGGGCCTGGCTGCAGGGAGAGAAGGAGAGACAAGCCAGGTGATGGTGGAGCCTTTCTTCTGTGGGCCTGGGTCCTCCTTCACCAGCAGGGGGTGCTCTAAGCTGTTCCTGGAGTGGGCTAGTGGTAACAGCAGGGGGCTGGGAGACAGGATTTTAAGGCTCTGTCCCCACATCGTGGAGGTGAATGCAGGTTAATGGTTGGTGCAGGGGGGTTGGGAACCAGGATTCCTGGGTTCCGTGCCCAATTTAGAACTGACTCACTGTGTAGCTTTGGGCTACTACCTTGCCCATTCTGTGCCTCAGTTTACTCCTCTATACAATGCCCAAGTAACCCTTTATGCACAGACCCTTCCCTATTGGTCCAACGCAAAATGATCTTCTCCAGAGTCTTTTCCCAGCAGCCTGAGGCATGTGCCGACCCTTCCCACACACTCCCAGGCCTTTCCAAGCAGCCTTCAGGCTACACCCCTTCCAGACACTTCCCAGCATCCCTCTGGAGTACAGGTGTCTGGCCCCAGACTTCAGACCCCCTGGACACTTCCCAGCAGCCCCTGGCCTTGGCTGCCCCCCATGCATCTCCTCAATCCATCCCCTACAGACCATATCCACTTCCTCCCCTACCACACTTCATCCACCCCCAACTCGTTGTCTGTGCCATGGGATGGGCGAGATTCTGAGTGCCAATGCGGAGTCACTGCCTCCCTGACTGCAGTGGTTTGTCCCAGAAAAGAGCAGGGTTTACCAACTGCATTTTGTTTTAAGAATCAAACCAGACCAAGCTTGGCCCTGACAGCAACCCTACAATAACATTAAGGGGGAACAACAAATGCATGCTGCCCAGCCCTTGCAGGAGACCCTACAGTAACAAACCTATGCACACAAGTCAGCGGTTCTCAAGCCACCCTGCACCCTGGTCTGGGGAGACAAACATATTTCCAGAAGGAGAAACCTGAAAGTTTAGAGGTTGGATTCCCAAGCAATTTCATCCCACTCAAGACAACCACCCAGCTGGAAATGCAGGGGTAGATGGAAAGCACCTTGAGCCATTGCCTGCTAATTAATATATTAACAACGTAATTAGGAGCCACTTAGCTTTGCTAAACGGCACAGGGACCCCGGTGCCAGAAAGTTCCTGGCAAGTTCAAACAGAATCACAAGATTCAAAGAAAGCACATTCCTACCCCTCCAGGCTGCAGAGAAAAGTGCCAACACCTCCCTCCCCCCACAATGGCTCAGACATGGAACGGCAAAGGAAATGAACGTTTCCCCGGTTTTCTTTGAACCCAGCCTTGTGGTTTTGCGGGATCCACAGTATTGGGGTCACATGAGCCTGCCTGAGCCCCCTGTCCTTTCTAGCATACAAGATGGTTCTAGCGCCCCTGGCTGTGAAGGGAAGCCAAGGGACATGAGCCATTAATTCCCCAGTGTGGATGCAGATCTGCCCGGATCCAGGTAACCCATCACCTTCACACCCTGGAGCAGTGGAACTATTAGAAGCACCTTCACCCCCATAAACAGCCACTCTCCATGGGCTGGGCTGCTTCAACTAGATCAGGATACTTCAGTCAGGCAAAGTCCAGGGGCACTGGCAGAGCTGGAGGGAGCCCAGGGCTGGGCTGGCAGGGGCTGCGGGTCGGGAGTTGGGCACTGGCAGGGCTGGGGGAGCCCAGGGCTGGGCTGGCAGGGGCTGCGGGTCGGGAGTTGGGCACTGGCAGGGCTGGGGGAGCCCAGGGCTGGGCTGGCAGGGGCTGCGGGTCGGGAGTTGGGCACTGGCAGGGCTGGGGGAGCCCAGGGCTGGGCTGGCAGGGGCTGCGGGTCGGGAGTTGGGCACTGGCAGGGCTGGGGGAGCCCAGGGCTGGGCTGGCAGGGGCTGCGGGTCGGGAGTTGGGCACTGGCAGGGCTGGGGGAGCCCAGGGCTGGGCTGGCAGGGGCTGCGGGTCGGGAGTTGGGCACTGGCAGGGCTGGGGGAGCCCAGGGCTGGGCTGGCAGGGGCTGCGGGTCGGGAGTTGGGCACTGGCAGGGCTGGGGGAGCCCAGGGCTGGGCTGGCAGGGGCTGCGGGTCGGGAGTTGGGCACTGGCAGGGCTGGGGGAGCCCAGGGCTGGGCTGGCAGGGGCTGCGGGTCGGGAGTTGGGCACTGGCAGGGCTGGGGGAGCCCAGGGCTGGGCTGGCAGGGGCTGCGGGTCGGGAGTTGGGCACTGGCAGGGCTGGGGGAGCCCAGGGCTGGGCTGGCAGGGGCTGCGGGTCGGGAGTTGGGCACTGGCAGGGCTGGGGGAGCCCAGGGCTGGGCTGGCAGGGGCTGCGGGTCGGGAGTTGGGCACTGGCAGGGCTGGGGGAGCCCAGGGCTGGGCTGGCAGGGGCTGCGGGTCGGGAGTTGGGCACTGGCAGGGCTGGGGGAGCCCAGGGCTGGGCTGGCAGGGGCTGCGGGTCGGGAGTTGGGCACTGGCAGGGCTGGGGGAGCCCAGGGCTAGGCTGGCAGGGGCTGCGGGTCGGGAGCGAGGGGCACTGGCAGGGCTGAGGGGGCAGGGCTGTAGCCATCTAACCTAATATCTGACCCGCATGGACTCAGGGGTGGCTTCAGCTGGCCCCTCCCTCAGTTCAGTTGTGGGTCGGATTTGGACCCCGATGGGGTTTGATGTTTTGGATCTGGGGAAAATCTGGTGCTGTTGGCCCAGGGTGCTGTTGGAGGGCAGCCCAAACCCCAGCAGAACTGTCCCCAAAAGCTGGGCCCTGCTAGATAGGAACCCTCAATGACAGCCTGAAATCACCACAGCTTCCATCAGCACCTTCTGGGCCCAGCTGGCATGGGGGCTCCCAGCTGTGTGTCTGCTCATGAGCTCTGCCTGCCCTGGCCAACAGGCCAATCTAGCCCCATATCCTGGCTTGTGCTCGTCACAGATCAGACCCGGACCCAGCCGCTCTGGTACCCAGACGCAGGTACCATTCACCTGTCTCTGGTATCCCCCCACCAAACCAGGCAACCCTCGTCCGCACAGGGGGCAAGGTCTGTTCTGACCTCCTGGCTGGCGTGAAGTGGAGCACGCAAAAGGCAGGAGTGACCTAGGCCAGCTGCTCCCAACACTCCGCAGGTCCCACCCCTTTCCCCAACATGCCCCACCCCCAAACACTCTCCAGTCCTACTGCCCTCCACACCTGCCAATGCCCTGACACACACCTCTGTGCCCCCACTGCTCCCAGTCTCCCTATCCCCTGACACACCCACACACACCCTTCCACCCCCCCCATTCCCCTGATTTACACCCCTGGTTCTTTGACACTCCCATACACAACACACCCCCTTCCATCCCCCCATGCCCCTGATTTACACCCCTGGTTCTTTGACACTCCCATACCCAACACCCCGCCTTCCATCCCCCCATGCCCCTGATTTACACCCCTGGTTCTTTGACACTCCCATACACAACACACCCCCTTCCATCCCCCCATGCCCCTGATTTACACCCCTGGTTCTTTGACACTCCCATACACAACACACCCCCTTCCATCCCCCCATGCCCCTGATTTACACCCCTGGTTCTTTGACCCATCTCCCCATGCCCCTCATGCACAGTCCTGGTCCCCCCACACTCCCATATGCAACACACCCCCTTCCATCCCCCCCATGCCCCTGATATACAACCCTGGAGTCCAGCACACACAACACATCCTCATGCCACCTACTGACCCAGAGTCCTAATACCCTGACATACATACCTATGGCCCATACCCATACCCCAATGCCCCATCTACTGCCCCATTACAGCCCCACATACACTATCACCTCCACATGCCTGCTGTCACCTGTGCTCCTTCCAGCCACCCTGCCCCAACCCGTTTCTCTCCCCAAAGCAATGGAGGTGCATTTGGGGCTGAAGCTGGTTATAGACAGCCCCTCCCCTGAGTGGGTGGGACTTGGAGCCAGCTGTGCAGACATCCTGGCCTCTCTGGGCTGTCTAAAGGCCCTGGGTGATGGGGGAGTGGAGGGGGGTCTGCCCCAGGTATTTAATCCCTGACCTGTGTCCTGCCCCCCACCAGAGGGGAGGAAACCTCAGTGAGTCCCAGTGCAATGCACCCCTCCCCCTCCCGGAAGAGATCCTCACGTTCTGCTCCTCCCCCTGCAGGATGCCCACAGGCGCCATGAAATTATGGGTAGTGAAAGTATGGGTTCTGAACCAAAATTAGGGACACATTAGCCACGCACCCTGACCTCTGTAAACCACACCCCTCTCCCCCACTAGCCACACCCCTGGCCATTAGCCATGGCTCTGGAGGTAACACTCTCAGGGTCAAGATGGACACATGACCAGAAGTAAAAGGTGTCGTGTGACCCCTTCTAAGAACTTCTCCCACCATCATTCTACCAATAGGGATGAATTTGGCCCCCACTGGACCCCCCCCATGCAACTATCCTGCAATTGCATTAACCCAATTTATATCACATTAACTGGGGGGGAAGGGGAGGCTGGGAAAAGTGTTCCCTCTACGATTTTCCTCCCATAAGTGGAATGAATTTTGTGCTGTGCACCAGTATTGAGTTCATGTGGCTTGTTTGGATGTGCCAGTGTGGCACCCAAGTTATTAATAAATATCTTATAAATCTCTTCCTCCAGCTTGCAGACTTAAAACTGGAGCTAACACAATCACATCTGCAATTGTACTTTACGCACACTTATATATAGCATCTTCACCATCATGTACCTGAAAGCCATGTTTTCCATAAAAATGAAACATGTAACCTACTTTTAGGCACCCCTGGAAAACTAGTGACCCTAGACATATGTCTGTGGTACCTAATTAAATATCCTGCACAGCAGACAACCCAAATGCTGCAACCACTGAACCTGCCTCTCTCTGGTGCTGGTCCCTCTACTGCATGTGTCTGCCCTTCTGCTTCACCCCCAGAATCCCCTGGCACCAGCATCTTCCCTTACCCCTGCACCCTCCTGGTGCCTCCTCCTTCCCTCACGGCCCCTGCCCCCTTGCCCTCTTTCTCTCTGATGCCCACCCTCTCACCATCCTCTGCCTCAGTTCCCCTCATGTCCCTCTGTGCCCTCACACATGACTTGCTCCATCCCCACCTTCCTCATGCCCACCCCTCCTTTCAACCCCTTCTCCCAGCACCCACCCCTCCCCCTCCTCTTCCTCCCTCTTGCCCCAATACCCCTCCCCTCTCCTCTCTCAGCATCACCTTGTCCCCTCCACCCTCCCACCCCCACTGACACCTCCCCTCCCCGGGGGAGATGGGCAGGTGGGGCAAATGGGCTGCCAGATTGGCCCTTCATCCTGGGGTAGTCCCTCTCCCACCCTCAAGCCATACTACAAGTTTGGAAGTGGGGAGGGGTGTCACCAGGGTGGAGCCCAGGATGGAGTAACCATTTTGTAATCCAAGATGAATATTGCAGTGGAGGGGGTCTGGGAACTGTGTCATGACACCTCCTCCATGGGCAGGTGGGGCAAATGGGCTGCCAGATTGGCCCTTCATCCTGGGGTAGTCCCTCTCCCACCCTCAAGCCATACTACAAGTTTGGAAGTGGGGAGGGGTGTCACCAGGGTGGAGCCCAGGATGGAGTAACCATTTTGTAATCCAAGATGAATATTGCAGTGGAGGGGGTCTGGGAACTGTGTCATGACACCTCCTCCATCCCCAATACCCCCACAGCCTTGAAAGAGCTATGGCTTGTGGCCTAGAAGTGGATCCCCTCCCCAGATGATGCCGCTGTCATCCACAGACATGTCCTATCAATCAAAACCGTATGGCAGTGAGTTCCATAGGTTGACAACAATAGGACAAGTGCCCAGCCAACTTCAGACACCCTTTTCTAGCCCCCCCCCCCCGTCCCAATCAGGTGATCGCCCTCTTCCCCAGAGCCATAGAATGAAATTTGGGGTCCCATCACAGGTCCTTCACTGTCCCCTCCCATTTCACTGTCCTTACACAGGTATGGGGGAACAATTGTCCCCCAATTCCCTCCCCCTCTCATCGCCATGCCCCTCCCCCCGGGACAACTCCCACAACTTACCTGGTGCTGCAGTCCCAGAGAGCCCAGCTGGGCGAGGTTCGGGGCTCAGGTCGGGAGCGGGGGCTCAGCAGTCCACCTCAGCGCTGACTTCCAGGCTGCGGGGTCCCGAGTCTGCGCCCAGAGGTCCAGGAAACCCCAATATTTTGGGGGGATCTGAGCGCCAGGAGCTCTCCCCACCAGGCGCTGCTATGCAGTGGGGGGCATTCTCCATGGGGCGGGGGAGCTGGTAAAATAGCGAGCCTGGACTGAAGGTCAGAGGGGAGCGTTTTCATGCAATGCTGGGGGGTCAGACAAGGGGGGGAAGCTGCATCTCCTCAAAGCCAGGAGACATGAGCTACCCCAGGGTTTTAGATGGTGCTGTAAGCGAAGGGAGGGGGGCTGCCCCTCGGAGCGACCTGGAAGCTGCGTCTGGAGGGGGCCTTCAGGGGTAGGGGAGCCGGCAGGGTGCTCTGCGCTGCCAGGAGTGGGCGCTGGGCAGGGTGGGGTGCAGCAGGGGGTGCTGTGCTGTAGGGAGCAGGGCAGGGTGCAGCAGGGTGCTCTGCGCTGCCAGGAGTGGGCGCTGGGCAGGGTGGGGTGCAGCAGGGGGTGCTGTGCTGTAGGGAGCAGGGCAGGGTGCAGCAGGGTGCTCTGCGCTGCCAGGAGTGGGCGCTGGGCAGGGTGGGGTGCAGCAGGGGGTGCTGTGCTGTAGGGAGCAGGGCAGGGTGCAGCAGGGTGCTCTGCGCTGCCAGGAGTGGGCGCTGGGCAGGGTGGGGTGCAGCAGGGGGTGCTGTGCTGTAGGGAGCAGGGCAGGGTGCAGCAGGGTGCTCTGCGCTGCCAGGAGTGGGCGCTGGGCAGGGTGGGGTGCAGCAGGGGGTGCTGTGCTGTAGGGAGCAGGGCAGGGTGCAGCAGGGTGCTCTGCGCTGCCAGGAGTGGGCGCTGGGCAGGGTGGGGTGCAGCAGGGGGTGCTGTGCTGTAGGGAGCAGGGCAGGGTGCAGCAGGGTGCTCTGCGCTGCCAGGAGTGGGCGCTGGGCAGGGTGGGGTGCAGCAGGGGGTGCTGTGCTGTAGGGAGCAGGGCAGGGTGCAGCAGGGTGCTCTGCGCTGCCAGGAGTGGGCGCTGGGCAGGGTGGGGTGCAGCAGGGGGTGCTGTGCTGTAGGGAGCAGGGCAGGGTGCAGCAGGGTGCTCTGCGCTGCCAGGAGTGGGCGCTGGGCAGGGTGGGGTGCAGCAGGGGGTGCTGTGCTGTAGGGAGCAGGGCAGGGTGCAGCAGGGTGCTCTGCGCTGCCAGGAGTGGGCGCTGGGCAGGGTGGGGTGCAGCAGGGGGTGCTGTGCTGTAGGGAGCAGGGCAGGGTGCAGCAGGGTGCTCTGCGCTGCCAGGAGTGGGCGCTGGGCAGGGTGGGGTGCAGCAGGGGGTGCTGTGCTGTAGGGAGCAGGGCAGGGTGCAGCAGGGTGCTCTGCGCTGCCAGGAGTGGGCGCTGGGCAGGGTGGGGTGCAGCAGGGGGTGCTGTGCTGTAGGGAGCAGGGCAGGGTGCAGCAGGGTGCTCTGCGCTGCCAGGAGTGGGCGCTGGGCAGGGTGGGGTGCAGCAGGGGGTGCTGTGCTGTAGGGAGCAGGGCAGGGTGCAGCAGGGTGCTCTGCGCTGCCAGGAGTGGGCGCTGGGCAGGGTGGGGTGCAGCAGGGGGTGCTGTGCTGTAGGGAGCAGGGCAGGGTGCAGCAGGGTGCTCTGCGCTGCCAGGAGTGGGCGCTGGGCAGGGTGGGGTGCAGCAGGGGGTGCTGTGCTGTAGGGAGCAGGGCAGGGTGCAGCAGGGTGCTCTGCGCTGCCAGGAGTGGGCGCTGGGCAGGGTGGGGTGCAGCAGGAGGCGCTGTGCTGTAGGGAGCAGGGCAGGGTGCAGCAGGGTGCTCTGGGCTGCCAGGAGTGGGCGCTGGGAGGGGTGGGGTGCAGCAGGGGGAGCTGTGCTGTAGGGGGCAGGGCAGGGTGCAGCAGGGGGCTCTGGGCTGCCAGGAGGGGGGCAGGGTGGCGCGCTGGGCAGGGGGGGGTGCAGCAGGGGGAGCTGTGCTGTAGGGGGCAGGGCAGGGTGCAGCAGGGGGCTCTGGGCTGCCAGGAGGGGGGCAGGGTGGCGCGCTGGGCAGGGGGGGGTGCAGCAGGGGGAGCTGTGCTGTAGGGGGCAGGGCAGGGTGCAGCAGGGGGCTCTGGGCTGCCAGGAGGGGGGCAGGGTGGCGCGCTGGGCAGGGGGGGGTGCAGCAGGGGGAGCTGTGCTGTAGGGGGCAGGGCAGGGTGCAGCAGGGGGCTCTGGGCTGCCAGGAGGGGGGCAGGGTGGCGCGCTGGGCAGGGGGGGGTGCAGCAGGGGGAGCTGTGCTGTAGGGGGCAGGGCAGGGTGCAGCAGGGGGCTCTGGGCTGCCAGGAGGGGGGCAGGGTGGCGCGCTGGGCAGGGGGGGGTGCAGCAGGGGGAGCTGTGCTGTAGGGGGCAGGGCAGGGTGCAGCAGGGGGCTCTGGGCTGCCAGGAGGGGGGCAGGGTGGCGCGCTGGGCAGGGGGGGGTGCAGCAGGGGGAGCTGTGCTGTAGGGGGCAGGGCAGGGTGCAGCAGGGGGCTCTGGGCTGCCAGGAGGGGGGCAGGGTGGCGCGCTGGGCAGGGGGGGGTGCAGCAGGGGGAGCTGTGCTGTAGGGGGCAGGGCAGGGTGCAGCAGGGGGCTCTGGGCTGCCAGGAGGGGGGCAGGGTGGCGCGCTGGGCAGGGGGGGGTGCAGCAGGGGGAGCTGTGCTGTAGGGGGCAGGGCAGGGTGCAGCAGGGGGCTCTGGGCTGCCAGGAGGGGGGCAGGGTGGCGCGCTGGGCAGGGGGGGGTGCAGCAGGGGGAGCTGTGCTGTAGGGGGCAGGGCAGGGTGCAGCAGGGGGCTCTGGGCTGCCAGGAGGGGGGCAGGGTGGCGCGCTGGGCAGGGGGGGGTGCAGCAGGGGGAGCTGTGCTGTAGGGGGCAGGGCAGGGTGCAGCAGGGGGCTCTGGGCTGCCAGGAGGGGGGCAGGGTGGCGCGCTGGGCAGGGGGGGGTGCAGCAGGGGGAGCTGTGCTGTAGGGGGCAGGGCAGGGTGCAGCAGGGGGCTCTGGGCTGCCAGGAGGGGGGCAGGGTGGCGCGCTGGGCAGGGGGGGGTGCAGCAGGGGGAGCTGTGCTGTAGGGGGCAGGGCAGGGTGCAGCAGGGGGCTCTGGGCTGCCAGGAGGGGGGCAGGGTGGCGCGCTGGGCAGGGGGGGGTGCAGCAGGGGGAGCTGTGCTGTAGGGGGCAGGGCAGGGTGCAGCAGGGGGCTCTGGGCTGCCAGGAGGGGGGCAGGGTGGCGCGCTGGGCAGGGGGGGGTGCAGCAGGGGGAGCTGTGCTGTAGGGGGCAGGGCAGGGTGCAGCAGGGGGCTCTGGGCTGCCAGGAGGGGGGCAGGGTGGCGCGCTGGGCAGGGGGGGGTGCAGCAGGGGGAGCTGTGCTGTAGGGGGCAGGGCAGGGTGCAGCAGGGGGCTCTGGGCTGCCAGGAGGGGGGCAGGGTGGCGCGCTGGGCAGGGGGGGGTGCAGCAGGGGGAGCTGTGCTGTAGGGGGCAGGGCAGGGTGCAGCAGGGGGCTCTGGGCTGCCAGGAGGGGGGCAGGGTGGCGCGCTGGGCAGGGGGGGGTGCAGCAGGGGGAGCTGTGCTGTAGGGGGCAGGGCAGGGTGCAGCAGGGGGCTCTGGGCTGCCAGGAGGGGGGCAGGGTGGCGCGCTGGGCAGGGGGGGGTGCAGCAGGGGGAGCTGTGCTGTAGGGGGCAGGGCAGGGTGCAGCAGGGGGCTCTGGGCTGCCAGGAGGGGGGCAGGGTGGCGCGCTGGGCAGGGGGGGGTGCAGCAGGGGGAGCCGTGCTGTAGGGAGCAGGGCAGGGGGCAGCAGGGTGCTCTGCGCTGCCAGGAGTGGGCGGTGGGCAGGGTGGGGTGCAGTTGGAGGTGCTGTGCTGCAGGACGTGCCAATTAACAGCTCCTCCCCCACTCCCTCCCAGAACTGGGGACAGAACCGAGGCATCAGTTCTCCCAGCCCCTGTACAGAACCGAGGCATCAGTTCTCCCAGCCCCTGTCTTCTGAGACACCCACTGTCCAGGCACGTGAAACCAGCCAGCCGGTTCTGCCCGCCCCAGGGAGCCCCAGGCCCTGACTTGGGGATGGGGGATTGAATTTGGCTTTGGGGGCTGTCGTCGGTGTCCTGGCTCTGCGCACTGGCTGCATCTGTAAAGGTCAGCGCTGCAGCACGGTTCACCCTGTGCTTATGTGATCGGCAGAGACAGGGGTAAGCGCTAGGGGACTCGAGCCATCTAAGTGGGTTTGGTCTGTAAAACACCCGTGACCCATTCCCCCCCCCTTGCAGCCGGGGCGGGAGCTAGAGGGGGAGCCGTTGCAAGTAGAGCTGAGGCTGGAGATACAGGAATGTGGGGAAGCCCAGGGCTGGGATTGAGGGGCACCAGCAGAGATGGGGATTGGGCCAGGGTGGGGGTCAGGATTGAGCTGCAGCGGGTCTCACTCATCACCCAGCTGCTGTTCCCACACTGCTCCCCTCCCTCCAGGGCATGCTCTCTGCCTTTCCCCCACCTCCTGCTCCCCCCATGATAGGACAGGGGTGGGGTAGGACTGGGCCAATTTCCTTCTGCCTCAGCGGCAGCCTCTCTGAATGCTCCTTCTCCCTTCTCCCTGGCCCAGGAAGGGCTTGGAGGTGGGGGTGGGGGTGAGGGGAGAGACGCAAGGAGCAGAATTAAACCCAGACACTGGGTGGCAGGTGGCTATTGGGTGCCCTCTGCACTGAAATTGAACCTCAGCAACACAAAGGGGGAGAGTCTGGGGAAAGCAGCTCCTTCCCTGGGAGCATCCGGGCATCTGGATGGGTGGAGGGTCACTGGGTTCCACTGAGCCAGCTGGCAAATGCCTGACCAGAGAGCCCATGGGAAGCTGAGCCCTCTGCTCTGATCTTGGATGGGCAGGAGAAGGGGGTAGCAGCATGACTGTGGCCTGTTCTCTGGTGACAGGGTCTGGGCCTCGCTCCCCCTGCCCATCCCTGATGAACACTGCTGGGGCCAGCCCCTCGGCAACCCTGCTGGCTGGCAGCTGAGGGGAGCGGGTCTCAGTGGCCCATCTAGTCCTGCAGCTGCTACTGATTGGTGCCTCGTAAGCCTATGACAAGTTGCTGTCATTAGCCTGGTTTTACAGATGGTGAAACTGAGGCAGACAGAGGGGACAAGGGATCACCTCCAAAATCACGGAAGCTGGGGAAGAGCCAGGGATTTCATCCAGTAGTCCTGGCTCCCAGCCCCATCTCTAACTGCTAGACACTCCAGTATAGCCTCCGATCCCTCTCGTCTCCCAAAGCCAGGGATGGAACCCAGGAGTCCTGGCTCCCAGGCCCTGCATTTCTAATCGCTAGATGCCCTGCTCTAGCCTCAAGCCCCTTCTCCTCTCCTAGAGCCAGGAAGAGATCCCGGCATCCTGA